AGATAAATACAGCAAGTTGTGGCGGCCAGAGAACGGCAGCTGCAGTGAGCTATGCCGAACAAGTGAACGATGCATTCGTCGAATATTGCTTAATCGGGCAACACATGTTTTTCGCGGCTTTGCGGTGTGCTTACTCGGGGAGTTCTAGTTCCACGACAGTTTTTTAGCGTTTCCTATAAGCAACGGGTGAGCACATGAACTTGAATTAATTATTGGAGCAGGTATTGATTTTGCATGAGTAGATATGAGTAAACCCAGAGTTCCGCAAGCCTGACTGGACTGAGAGAAGTGCCGTGTCATTTGACTAATTGGTGAAGACGGCAGCTGAGCTCCTCTCAGGAAAATGCGTTTATTGAAAGGCTTGAAATCGAGTTGGCTCGGCTACATATCGTTTTAGCTTCTTTTACTTTTGGTGACTAGTCAAATGATGTGAAATGATTATAGCCCCACTTCCTTCTAGTGTGAAATTCTTGTAGCCGCGGTTTCAAAATCTGTGAGTCTTTACTTTTATTAGCGTCGCTAGAATACACGTGATGAAACAAATGCTTTTAAATATTATTACAGAGAATGTCGATGCAGCGAATGTTTTGGCAAGTGCACCTTTTTTCGTCAAGGCAACGCTGTTGCCCTCACGAGGACAAGTCTACTTGCCGAGACACCACTTACAGCGACCTTTTTTTTTGAAGAACTTCTGATTGCTTCAAGCTTCTTCATGCCTTGGAACTTCAGTCTCGTTTGGTACTCAAGTTCTTTGTCCGTCATCATAACAAACGTGATTGAGTCAAATACAACGTATCCTATTCGCGATTGTTGATAACTTCCACATTCGTCCTAATACTGGGTTCAACGTTTGCTCATTATGCCCATATGTCAGTTGTAAATTCAAGATGCATTCATAGATTGACACTTCCACACTATGTGAATATACCTTTTTATGACATGCTTTTAAAACATGCCATAAAAAGTGCATTTCATTCGTGTCCATCAACTTTCGCCTTACTGTGAAATCAGTCAGCTTTACGTTTGCCTCTTCAGAAACAGGAACAATGTTTTAAAAAGATTACCAAAATTTTATAGCCGCATTACCAAAGCGGCCAGCAGACCGCACCTGCAAGAAGGCACGAGCGCATTCCGCTTGCAGGCGATGTGGGAAAGGAGGGCTTTCTCGGAAAGCCTCCTCCTCTCAATTTTTTCTTTTACCTTTATTTGGGGACTTTACCAGTGAAGTTATGCAAGAAAGTTTCTGTTCGTAATTTATTTTAGTTGGATGCCCAGTAACCAACAGCGGTAAAAGCAGCGCTGCCACTGCCAAGAGCGAATAAGTGGGAGGTACAGGAAGCCTCTGCCCCCTGATTATACTGTGAACTACTAAGAAAAACCTATGCATTGTGCCACCTGCCTTTCCAGCTCTTCCCCTAAAAACAAGCAGCCTTAGTGGATCCACTTGGTGACTTGCAATTAGCCTGGCAGGTGATGGGTGATGCGACTCTCCTGGCTACAGCACCAAGTATCTCACTTACAGTGGGCTTGCCATGCAGACTGGCTGCATTTTACACATTGAGCTGCTGCAAGTCGGAGAGGTAAACTTACCGTGCAACTAGTATACTATTCAAGGGCTAATAAGACCTCTTGCTACACTTTTGTACACAGTCACCTGAAGTCCCCTACAGTGTCTCCATGGAAAAGCAAGGACTTGCTAATTGCCTGAGTGCTGTGGAGAATCTAAGCATCCACATACACTCGTCGACAACAGACACCATATGGTTGTGATCAATTCGCGAGCGAAACTAAGGTTAATAAAACATATCTTTATGTGAAATCGTTTGAAATGACTGTTTGAAGAAAGAATTTTGGATGAACAAGGGGCATGAGACTTTCATCACTCTTGTAGGAAGCACTGTGTGTGCCCATGACAGCAGGTCTAAGGTACTTACTCGACATATTTTTTTCCAGATCGACATCCTGGTGTCCAGCTATACTGACACAAGCACAAGCCAAACATACCACACCGGTACAATGTTTGGCACGTTGGTAAAGGTAAGCATGTACGTTGTTTTTAAAGTTAGTTTGGGGCATGTACAGTAATTCGGCTCACTCTAATATATTACCTAAGAAAGCTGATATTTGCACATGATTAACGTATTAAAACAGGCTTGTTAACTTGTAATCATGGTAGATGCACTTGCAACTTGCAAGTCAGCAACTTTCCTCTTGCATGCATTATCTCATTACAATATTGAATACAACCAGCAATAACATACTAGCTTATAAGAATGACTGGGACTACTGTAACTTTTAAGAAACTTGTACCAAATATTTGCAGAAATATTTGTATTGCATTCATATTTGTCGCGAAAAAAACCCTGTGCAGACACAATTAATAAACTTATACACAGTACGAGCATTGGTCTTACATATGTGTTCCTTATCTCAGCATCTGCTTTTTCTTTCTACGAATATGAACACAAGTGACTCAAAACAACTAGCCCCCATCACTGCTTTGGCTGCTCAAACATGTTTTGACATTACAAGCAAGCACATACCCGAATACTTTGAGTATAGACATTGCTCTCAGAAAAACTTTTCTATTTTACAGCTCACCTAACAAACAGAGCTGACACCAAACTTTTTGTCAACTGAGCTTTGTTATGCTATCACACTAAAAGGAAGTCCCAGTAGTGTAGATTGAAATCCGATACGTGGCAGTGTAGCTTCAAATAATTTAAATGATCAGACAAGTAATACGAAGGTTGTAGGTTTGGTTACTGTAGTTATAAAGTTGTACTTTCGTCTTCGTTTTGTTTCACACTTATGTCACAATTACTACTACAGTATCGTTAAAAGTGTACAAGTAACATCATTTACACCTTCCTTGGCTTCTATATAAGCTAGTTTTTAATAATTTTTATAAGAAGACTTGAAGGTGACCCCTAGTTTCTGTAAAGTCCCCACTGCAAAGGAGCTCTCAGCTGGTGCAGCTAGTAATGACAGTTCAAAAAGGGTGCGCATCTTGTCAGGAGTGTTGGCTGTCAATTGAAGAGATACGCTTCTAATAAACTGCAGCACTCCAAATGGCAAGCAATGGCAATGTAATAGTTAAAAAAACTCTCCTATACAAGCGTGCAATAAATATATGCTGAAAGCAGAGCCTGAAGGGAAATATAATGTTGTAACCATGCCACACCATGCATGCTTCTCATGTTAGTGGCCGTCACCAGCTGCACTAGATTAATTTTTTATTGTCACATGACCCCCTCCCCATAAATGTGGATTTATACAATTCAGAACGTAGGTTGACCTACCATCAAGTAAATACGGTAAATAATTTCATCTTGTAATGTGTCATGGCATGATAGTGACTTTGTCTCTCTTCACCATGCAGGATATATTGAAGAGCTGCTGGAAGATGCCATAGACTTCTGTGAACTCTCATAAGACAAGGAAAGCTTTACAAGCAATGAGGCAGCAAAGCCATGCCATATGTTCCTCACCTATGACCGGTCAACTAAGGAGAAGCTAATTGCTCAGAGGCACACAAGCTTTCCAACAGGATCGATTTCGAATCAGTGACATGCATTTATTCTCATGATGTTGGTTTGGGTTCAATGCCGCAAAACCGTGATGCAATAATGAGCTATGCTATACCGCAGGGTGCCAAGAATTTCGGTCACATGGTGTTTTTCTACATGCACTTAAATCTAAGTACACGGCGTCAACCATTTTCGCCTCCAATGAGAATGCAGCCGCCATGGCCGGGATTCGATACAGCGTCCTTCAGGTTATCAGTTCAGTACTATAACAACTAGACCACCGTGGCGGATAGTCACCAATACTTAGCCCACCATCAAAAGCTTACCATGAAACTGGCGTCAAATCTATTTTTACCTGTGTGAGCTCTGGCTGGCGGAACACAGAGAGCCGCTGTGAATCGAGCGAGAGAGCTAAACTGGATTGAAGACACGTTGAAAGCTAGGTGAAGCAAAGAGAATGCAACCCTAGCGACGGCACAGCTGAATCCTTTTGACACGTGAGATGCAATGAACCTTCCTGGCAGTTGGGCAACCATGCAACCAAGACTGATTTGTGGAAGTGCTGTCAAATATAATTTTTACGTGTGTGCTACAAGGCTGGCAGCACACACAGAGTCACTGGGTAAAACTAGAGAGAAAACCACATTTTACTGAAAAACCGCCTTTCTGGCAGTCGGGCCACGATGCAACTTTGATTGCTTTTTGTCAAGTGCCGTGAGCTGTTATTTTTACATGTTTTCTGCGGCTAGCAGCACATAGAGAGCCTCTGTGGGAATCGAGCTAGAGAGCTTACATTTTATTTTCGTGTCTGTGTGCTACGGGAGGCAGCCCAAAAAGAACTAGATCTACTTGAGCTGGCATCACAAGATTGACAGAATGACTAAACCGGAGTATTCGAGAAATCACCCTCGTTTTTTTGTTTGGGTGAGTCTTGAAAAGAAATGCTCAATCTTTTTTAAGGCCTTTGTATGATGCTTTTGTTTGGTAATTGTGCTCCTACTTTTAAACTGTTGACTAATAAAATAGCCTGCGATTATTTTTGTAAGCGATAGATGCGATGAGCAAGCCCTATGTATTATTCTGCTAAAAATCATGCACGAAGCACAACTATTTTGGATCAAGAGACTGAATAACAAGTCCATTGAAAAAAACAAACAAACCTGTGCAAAACAGGTAAAGCTAAAAGGAAATGAATTCGGAAATCACTTGTGCGCAGATATAAGTGACGCTTATAGTTGAAAGCACAGGCAGCTTGAAGTTTAATTTCAAGTTAGGATATAAAAAACTTTCAAGTACCCACTGAGGTGGATACCGGAAGTCCACGTAGTTGGCCAAACGGAACTGATTCTTGATGGCGGTGACTACGCACGCCAGTAATACAACTGTGTTGCATCGTCTATACAAGCATCTGCAAAATACATCGCGTAAAGAAGCGGTTCTTCTGAAAGTGATATTTCCTGAAAGAAGGCATAGGATGCCGTTGCTGGAACTGCAACTTCAAAATGTTTTTTATTCATTACTGTAATACCTGTGCAGTTCTCCTTGAACCACGATGCCATTCTCTTTCAGCTCACAATAATGAGCACGCAGCACCGCGAAGCTCAGACCTACGCTTCGGAACTCTTCGTGCCGAGTTTTGCAGCAGTCGAGACTTCCGCGAACAACTGGTGGTATGTCGCGACAGCACACTTGTTCAAGGGCTGTCGGCATTGCTCCACAAAGCCCACTGTCGCACCTGCATTTGCGAAAATTGGTCTAAGTTATCGTTATCACGGACACCGCATAAACACCGCGAAATGAAAGAAAATGTCAAGACGAAATCTTTTGCATGCTTGTGGTTATGCAGCAAAGCGTGCACGTTACACGCGTGACACAGCAAGTGTGGCGGCTACGCGAGGACGAGCAAGTATCGAATAAAAAGGGTTACTTCAATCATTTACACTTACGCATGATCGTTGTCATCCTCACGGAAGTCCGGCCAATCAGGCGGTGGCGGATCACTGCTGTAATCCTCGGTACGAAGCGTGTGATCGCGAATTAGTGTGTCACTGTGTGGTTCGAAACCTATTTCATCCCTGATTCGGTGCAAGCGCTCTTCGTTGCCGGTGTTCACGATGAGCAGTGGTTCAAAGCGCTGTCAAACAAAACACAGGCTGCTCACATAGAGCGCAGAAACACGACCAGTGGAGCGCCTGACCTCCAGTCGCTCCTGCTCTGGCTTCGACTTGCCGGAAGTACACGAGACAGTTTCACGCAAGCGTTCTCCCGCGTCAAATTCTGACGCAGGCCCCGTGAAGGTGAGGCTTTAGCTCGAGCGCTCAGGAAAAGAGTTGCGGGCAGTTGAGGGTGAAAGGTGGAGTGGAGGAGGAGGATACCTATTGAGTTAATAATAGGTGTTAATTATGGGAGGAGGATACCTATTTAGTTAATAATGGGTGTTTCGATTGAATTATGGTGCAAATGATTTGTTACGGTAGTGGTATAATCTAAAACTGAATGTAGAAAAAAAACCATTTCAGGGACCCTTTAAGACGTTAAGGAACAGTGCATTTGCTCCCGCAGTGCCAAGTACGCCCGTGGGAGTCAAGGGTATATGCCAGATGCAGATTATTGAGCATTGTGAGCACATGCGCATTGCTTGAGGCCTTTAGGCCTTTCACATACATAATATAAGCTATAAGGTCGTCCTTCATCATACGCCTCTATGTAGCTTCAGCGGCCCCCCGAGCGATTTAAGCATCGTGGTGCCACCTCGAAGCCCACTCGTACCTTTAACTCGAAGGTGTCGGGTGAGGGGAGTACCAGATAAGAGATTGAGCCAGGTACAGTTACTACTTCCCTCTGCCTCTGAATCGGGTGGCCGGCCCCGGGTGAAGAATAGAACCCGGTACCTCGCACTTTGGTAGCAGACGCTTAGCCATTATGCCACCGCTTTGATGTCGTTCATTATCATTGAGAAGTCCACTTTGCTTCTTCCTTCGAAAAGTATAGTTTTATTGAAATTGTTCGCGGTTTCGCAGTAGGCGTATGGAGTTTTTTAGAACAGTAAAATGTTGAGCGCTAACTTTTCTTGATTTTATTCCTTCCACCTTGTTTATACGTTGTGCCCATATTAAAAAAAAAGCGCCAGGCCTGCGCGGAACGCGCAACACAGTCACAGCGGATGCCAGAACAGCAGCCTTTCAGGGTCTTTTCCAAAGACTCCTTGGGTAACTGCTACAAGCCCAGTGCTTGGTACCCACTACGCCATAGATAATCACAATTTTTATGTAGTAGACCAGCATTCACTAAGGTATACTTCGTCATTCTTTTGAGAAGCGTAGTATCCGCTGCACACTTGATAAGAATTTTGTGCAATTTTCTATTCAGTGGCTGACGACGATGAAGAATTATGCCTGAAGTGGGCATGTGCCATAGGTTTTAGCTAAAAAAACAAGATTTTGAAATGGGTTGAAGCATTGGACGACCCACTCGTCGTGATATTCGCATTGTGTGATGCCTGGTTGTTCTTTTGATGTTATAAAGCGATTTAATACTTATATTACCGCGATTCCTTTCCCGACATCAATACTGCATAAGGCCAGTTTAGAAACGAGTTCCAAGCACTGGCGTGAATCAGTGATAGAATACTGGGCTGACACGCATTGGACCCGTGTTCAAATCGCATTGTGTATACGTGTTTTATATTTACTGAGTAATTTTTATTTCGATACTGGTTGTAGACAGTGGCGGCGGAAGACAACTACGGCACAGCACGTGACCCGTGTTCTGATCTCATAACAGCTTTCGCTGTAAAATATGGCTCGTAAAATGGTATGAGCCGAATAGCCGAGCAACGAGAACTGCAAGCTGTATATACGCAGCTGGAATTCATCAATACGGTCATGAAAACGTTTGGGCTGATTCTGAATAAAAACAACACAGAATCATATTTTCCGTTTAACGAAGTGTAGACTTGCCATAAATAATTTGATATTTTTCATACTCCAACATTGAACTCAAGATATCTGGGAGAACACTAGAATGTACTGTGATGCAATATAAATATATTGAATGACGCTTTAGCTTTTCGTTCAAGAGCAGAAGGCGATTGCCTCAGCAGACCTTGTGTTGATGTCCTTTTCAATCACTGACCTGGTCTTCACTTCCCCATGGACAACCGAACCCTTCCACGAGGTAAGGAATGTGCGTGTGCCTGTAAAATAGCCTTTTAAAATAGAATGCCTATTGCAGGTACAGTTGACAGTAGCCAATTACGACATTATACTTTCCCTTACAAGTTGTCGAAATGTCCACTACCATTCAGTCAGGCAACAGGCGCCTTAGCGTAGCTGCAAAGGTTGTTCGCACTGTTGCTGCTGATGATGATGATGAATATGAATAATTATGTTTCAAGGTCTTGTAATTCACGGGCCTGTAAACCAACCACTTGTCGCGAATTTACTGTGTTCACTTCCTGGTGTGTTTCTACGCTTCGGCCACCTAATACTGCACGCGTTAATGAAAGTGCTCGCATTAAATACTAATCTTAAAGAAATTTTTATCCAGAGAAATTTTGAGTACAGGTATGGCTTACAGCAAAACGTCTGTTTGCCACGCAGACACCCTGGTTTGAAGTGACAACATTTTTTTGTTATTTCTTTACATGCATGAATCTCAAATTTTCGTTCACAACCATTGACGCCGACAACGGCACTACAATATAAGTGAAATGATCACTTTAATACTATTGCTTTTCAAGGTCACCCATTTCTTCAACGATCAGTTGTTCAATCCCCGACAACTGTGCTCCGTACTATTGTTGCACCGCCTATATCACTTTTTTTTTTCTTGGGCACAAGATCGCCCGTTCCCGTGTTTCATCTTCACAAGCTGAATATATACTTGCTTTACCATTACAACAACGTAACAATATTGGCATGTTTATTCTCTGCGCTTTTTTGGATTAAGCTATGTTTGCAAACAATTTTCACCTCGCTATCTTGTCATGCTTCTCTTTTTTAGGAGATAAGCTTACTTGTCAGTAAAATTGTCACGCTTAGACCATGTATTTTCAAAGTGGGTTAATAAAGTACTTTTCTGTATGGACCTTACCCCGTGCACTTTTGCTTTATTATTTCGAACGCGTACTCGTGTACACTTACTAGGGCTTACAATATGTTGTACGTACTTTTCGAAACGATGACAACGTCACAGATAAATGCTTCTGGACTACGCATATCGCGAATGTCTAATCGAATATCTGTTTGAAAGACGCGTTGTAGGTTTCTGATTTCGCCTTCCTCGCAAAAGGCAGCCAGGAATCTGCTGCAACCTCGTGCCACAGAGAGTTCGGGGCCAATTGCAGACGCAATCAGCTGACGGGTAAAGTTGTGGTGCACATCATCAAAACTACAAGCATATGTATGTATGTATGTATGTATGTATGTATGTATGTATGTATGTATGTATGTATGTATGTATGTATGTATGTATGTATGTATGTATGTATGTATGTATGTATGTATGTATGTATGTATGTATGTATGTATGTATGTATACAATTATCCTCTCGAATACCTGGTTCACTCAACTCATGAAGTTGTGACGCTGACATATAGGTTTTATGCTTTTACACCGCGCCATTGACGCCTTTAAAGGTTCGAAAGGTAATTAGATTTCACGCATATTTCAAAACCTTCTTTCCTTCGTCATCCCCGCTCGTAAACGAAAGAAACCACAGAAAATGTATATACACATGGTTTTAGAAACCCCGTCCATGGTCAATACTGTACACTTTTTCATTGTTTTTTTGTTTTTCTACTCTACACGCTCTAATACTTGCTGCTCATTCGCTTAGTCACGCACTCTGTCGCCAGCTCACTCATCCACATGCCTGCTCGCTCACACAACTGCTTCCCGCGGCTCCATTTTTCTTTGGGCACAACAGCAGTTTTTTTTTTTAAGGAAAAACGTTCCGACTCTCGATTTTGTTCTTCCTCTCCTTAAAAGGTCCACCACTATCTCCTATATGTGGCGAACACAGGGCGCGTCATGCTCTAATATAATTTTCTCCGCACACACTCTCTCGGCTCTGTGTACGGAGAGCGCCATCTCATCACCAATTTTTCATCTGAAAGATCTCCAAAAAAGTCCCTCTCCCTCTTCGTCCACACAGATGAAGACAAGCTGGCAACAGAAAATTTTGATAGCAAAATGAGCAGGAACGAAGGCGACGAATCTCCTCCTAAGGGCAGCATTGGGGAATTAAGATAAAAAAAAATCGGCATAGCAGCGTAGGTTCGCACGAACAAGTTGAAACTCGGCACGTCAAGGGAAAGGCCACGGGAACGTAGCTAACCGAATAACACAGTTCAAACGCGTAACACACTGCAAATACGAAAGCAGAGGAAGTTGGAAGGACGAGGGGTTAGGCAGGCTTGGGTGAAAGTGCGAGAGTGTAAGAGAAAATTTAACAAGAAGATGGTTTCAGTAGGGGTTGGAGGGGGGAAGAAAACAAAAGTAGAAGAAAGGTTTGGAGGCGGCAACGAAATAATAAAGATAGTGCGCGCGGCGAACTTTACAGCGTCCAGCGCACAGATATAGAGCGAAGCGAAGTAGAAGCATGAAGGAAAAAGCGTAGCGTAAAAGCCGGAGTGGGGTTGCAGCTCGGGTTCCTCAGATTTCATCACGTCTCATTACCCACCGTGGGCGATTTTGCGTCGCCTCTCAATGTAAGCCCCGTATCTTTTTTATTCCGCCTCCTCGGCAGTCTCCCGATCCACATGCACGGGGAGAATGAGAGTACGAAGAGGACAAAAAAAAAAAAAACACTCGCTCCTGTTTCCATCTTTTTCTTGCAGAAATGCATTTCACTTCACACTCGAATTGACATCGGTGTGGCTGCCCTACCACGTTTTTGGCTCTCTTGGAGAAATGTTTTTTTGGCAGTTTCAATGGGCGCCGGCTTTAAGTATTTAGTAGAGGTCTTCATCTGTATGCAGACTTGCTTAGCTTACGCCATTTTTATGTATAAATATTTTTGGTTTGGATCTCGACGAAACTTGGTGTCTTTGTGCCCCGGGTATGTCCCGAGCGTTGTTGTTATTTTAGTTTTATCGACATCTGCTACTCTATATAGACAACCGCGTGTAACGCTTGTGCCACCAGGTGACGCTGCTCACGAGGACAGAAAGAGAGCAACAGGAGATGAAAGAAATAAAGAAGCAAAATAGAAAAGAG